TACTTGACCTTTGACCAGTGTGTGAGATGATCAAAATTTTAAAATACAAAATTGTTCATAATTAAACATCAAGAAAAAAGTCGTTTACCGCATATAGGGCTCTCTCCAGTAGGTATGATTTTAAAGCTTTGCGAAATGCGGGAAAGAATGAAAGCGATTTGATATTCAAAGGCAGCTGATTGTACATTTTTTTGGCATTGTACAGTATTGAACGCTTAACTAGTTCTGAACTCGGGGTTGGCAGATAAAAATCGTGCTCTGCATTCCTAAGTGGATAGTTATGAGATGGCCTTTCGGGAATAGCAGATATGTGCTTGCGGATTAAGCAAAGGGATTCAAAAATTAATAAAGAAGGAAGAGTCAGTATTTTCAAATTTTTAAAGAAATTCTGGCAGTGAGTTCTACTGTTTAGTCCCAATAAATATCGAACTGCTCTCTTCTGAAGTATGAAAACACGATCAAATTTTGTTGCGCAGTAAGTACCCCAGAATGGAAGAGCATAACGAAGATGTGACTCAAAAAGGGCATAATAGGCTATTCTAGAGGTTGAGAAGTTAAGTTCCTTAGAAACTGATCTTAGCGCAAAACAGGCAGCGCTTAGTTTCTTTGATAGAGCTTCAATGTGAAAGTCCCATTTTAACGAGTTGTCTACAACAAGTCCTAAGAATTTCACAGAGTCCACGACAATAGTAATGTTATTAAGTACAAAAGGTTGTATAATACTTTTATATGACAAAACTTTAGTTTTTGATAGGTTGAGGAATAGGAGATTAGAATCGCACCAAGACTTAATGGTGCGTAAGTCACTGGATATAGTATCATATAGCGCCGCAACATCTGGGCCGCTCCAAGTGAAACTAGTATCGTCCGCAAAGAGGCAGATTTTACCGCTAATGTCTAGATTTGCAATGTCGTTGATAAACACCAGAAACAATTCATTTCCACTCACCCTGAATCCTCCTAAATTGTTAACTATGCACGTGAAAACCAAGGACTGTATATATTCTAAAGGACTGTTCGATCGCGTCAAATCGCCGCTGTCGTAGTCGCCGTGGAATGCTGCGTCACGCGTTGACCAGCGCTCCACAGTTCTAGCGGGACAAAATCTCAAGAGCAATGTTTGGGACTTAAAATCTAAGAACGTAGCAAATGGTCTAATATATAGCAACTATATGGTTAAATTTATTTATTAACAACTTAATTTATTAATAAATAAATACAAGATAATAAAACTATGATATTATTCGTACATGACACACAAAAACCGTATTGCAAACTATTGCCAAATACATAAAATTATGATATCAAACCCTTTAGCAGTTTTTTTTTACTTAATTTGTAATCTTGTGACACCCCCTAATTTATTTAAAAAAAAATATATTTTATTTTGAAAATAATAAATAAGATAGATATTTTAATTTTGAAACACAGAACTATTATATAGCGCCCCTCTTGGACCGGACCGATCGGACAAGTCCATTATCAAGAGAGCAAGGGACAGTAGGAAGAAGAATAACATATGATTAGTATCTTAAGAAGTGTGAAAGTATTGTCACGTAAAGTTTATTAATAAAAGTGTTTGTTAAATTCTTGGAGTTTTGTCACAAAATTTATGGTTCGGCACCCCACAAAATAAATGTAACGGAACCCCGTCACAAATTGGCGCCCAATCGTGGACCATAAAAGGTGAAAAATCGCAGAATTGTTCCAAAAAAACGAAGTCTTCCAGTCATAGTGGTTCGCCCCGAATAAGCCTTTGCAGTCGTAAAGCAATACCGGATCTTTGACAATCCTTTCCTGAAACAAGAAACTGTAAGTCCAAAAGTTTTTATTAATCAATTCTATGAAAATTATTGCTCAAAAAGAGGTTAATCCCGCCGAATCGTTAGTTGTGACGTCATACGCCCAAAAAAGTCAGGAGCGATACCACGTATCCAAATCATTCTTGACATAATCGTTTTGAAGAAAATCCTTGGATTGGACCATAGATTTAGGAAGAACAGATACATAGAACATTCGGAGATTGACTACGTACTGTAAAAATCAACTGAGATAGAGAAGGCGACATTGCCACATATCAAATTTGCGCCTATCTACTTAGTTTGATTTGCAGAAAAGGTGACTTTAAAACCTTCACCGGATATCAATAAATCTCAATTTCTTAATTAAATTAATAGTTTATTTTTAAAGAAGCATGCGTAATAATATGTTAATAACCAGAGGATATATGCGTTACTATTAAGATACTATATTATTACTATAAGACATGTTTACTGTTTAATGTGCTTAAACGTCTAGAACTATTGGCAACGTCGCTGCTAGTCTTCCAGAATGAAATGAGCCGTCCGTCCCACCACCCCTCGCGACGGCCCACTGCCCATGGTCAGCGTACTACGTTTAGCTTACGGTGAGTTTGAAGTCGGAATCAAGTCCGAAATGAACTTTTCAGTGTTTTTCAGTAGTTTCTGTTTTTGTTTAATGTACTTTTGAATCTGCGAATTCTCAATATGGTACGACAGTGTCAAATGTCTGGACAAATAAGCTCAAATTACCCGAATTTGTCTTTTCACAGGTAGGTATTGTTTCCGCCGCGCCGTAATCGTACATAGGCGTCCCACAAGGGAGCCTCTCACAATTAAAATAATTTCTAATTATATTTGTTGAATTTTGATCTATTAAAACAAGAACGTAGTAGCCGGTAATTGAATTATAATTCGTCTCAATTACTACCTAACTGTTGTAGATCATAACAAATTTGAATATAAACGTTACATTTGAAACTTTATTATAAGCCAGAAAGTGACATTTTTTTCTTAAAATTGCGTCCTATTTTGGTCATTATATACGATATTCTAAAGGAATTTTGCTCAATAAATAAACAAAGGTCTTTAAGCGACCTTTTTTACATTTTATTGCTTTATTATATCTGCCCCTTCGGCCTTGTTTAGACAATTTTTTACCACCGTACAAATACATCTTCCTATAGTTATTCGTACGGTGCGTTTAATTTTTTTTAGAATGGGACGAACTGTAAATAATTCTTAGGCTACTAGTTTTATACATACCTATATAGAGAGCGACCCAGGCCTCCAAAAAAGCTTTTTACCTATTACGTTTTTGGTTTGTGATTTTTATTTCAATTTTTTAAATAAGATGGGGGCCATTGTAACGTACATTTTCAAAATATTTTTGTCAACATACAGGATGATTCAAACCGCAATACATATGTTTAATACAGTTCATGAAGATTAGGACATTTAACTAAAATTTAATTATCTGATGAAGCTACCTTTAAAAGTAATGGATTTGTAAATAAACGTAATAGGTATTCATTATTATGCGACAAAAATCCCATACTGAAGCACACAGATTTTATACCTTTAATGATAAATGCCATCTATTGCGAGACTAAAAGGCAATTGCCTCGTATCAGAGCCATCATAGTACAAGAAGAAGACCGAAAGTCAAATCTTGTCTTATATCTTCAAAAAAAAACACAATTTTCTCATTAAATATTGATTTTAGGTATAGGAAGTTATTAATAAAATACAAGATTAAACAACTATTACACAGTACTTCACAGGAAGCTATCGATTGCGAACCAACTAAATCGTTACTAATTAGGTACTAATTTTGAAAAGTTCTTTTTAAGATAAAAAAATGTAAAACTAAAACCTAAACTATCATTTGAGATTAAACAGGAAGTTCTAAATAATATTGCCTATTCTAAAAAAGAAAAATTTATTTATAAGTTAAGTTTTATAACATTCCTAATTAAATTTGGGCGAAAAGAATATTTCTGTTTGCTGTAGGTAATTTTCTCAGGCAAAATACGTAAATAAAAATTACTTTTTAAGTCAAAAGAAGTCAAAAGGACAAGTTATTCCAAAAAAGGACTGTCCTTTTCAAAAAAGGACAAGTGGCAACCCTAGGTATTTCTGGAATGGAAATTTAATGGCAAATCTACAACTTTGCTTTGAAAATATGTTCCGGCCACCTATGTTTACAAAAATGTCTAATATGTGCCTAAATGCCTCCATATTCTGAAAAAAAATTGAAAGAAAAGTCACCAACCACAAACCTAATATAGAACTGTTTCGGAAGCCTGAGTCACCCTGTAAATATTCAAAAGTAACTGAAAGTTTATATAGAAGTAACTGAAAGTTTAAATTGAAAATCGACGTTGGAGTGATTTTCGAAAACTACTAACGTTTCAACATAAGTATATGTGGGATATTAATTGTATTATTATATTAGACCTTATAACAAAACTCATCTGACGAAAAAGTGTTAATGTAGTATATTAATATGGAGTAAAAATTTTACTAATTAATTTACTTTTAGTTTACTAATTAAATTCGTTCCAAAAAACGATACGCCACTGGCCATTAGAACAATCCCAAATGCGCCTAGTTGCCGGGGTCGGAAATTTTAAACTTCTCTGTCTCTTCTGTCCTTGTTTGACACATTGGAATGTTTGATACACTACCAACGAGTATATATGAATGAAATGTTCGGTCTATCTTTATAATGTTTTTGGATTGGACAGAAATTTGTTTTGCTCCCAGTTCTCCACGAAATTTCAATTCGCGAATGGTTTAACTGGTTAAGGACTAACAAAATACTCAAATAAGACTTTCTTTTACATCAGTGTGCTCACGGTTCAAGAAAACCAACAGTATTTATAAATACCCATCGAATTCTGTGCAACCACGGATACACACAGATATAATTTACCGTCAGAACTACCCTCAAAATAACGAAAACATGACGTCAATAACAATGAGTGATGAACAGTTTCAACAACTCTTAGCCAGACTTTCTGTAGGTAATCAAAATCCTACTCAAGTTGCTTCAGCTCAAAATGGAAATTTTACTGGTTGTTTATCGAGATTTGATGGTGCAAAAAATCTCCAGTTTTCAAGCATTTATTGACTCCGTATCAATATATAAAGACTGTGGCGCAAGTATCAGATGAAAATGCGTTGAAAGGACTTCCGATGTTACTAGATGGTTTCGCTGCCGAATGGTATCAAGGTGTAAAAGCTACCATTAGTACCTGGAAAGAAGCAATTGATCTTTTGAAGCTTACGTTTGGACCGCAAAAACCTGCCTATCGTGTGTATCGTGAATTATTTGCAAATGAACAAGATGAAAGTACACCTACTGACATTTTCGTTTGTAAAGCCCGTTCTACGCTAGCACAACTTCCAAATAATACGCTAACAGAAGAACCTCAATTAGACATGGTATATGGACTCCTACATCGAAGAATACGTGAAAAAGTTTCTCGCAACAAAATCAACAACTTCAACGAACTTCTATCCCAAGCTAGACTAGTTGAAGAAACGTTTGAACGCACCGACTCATGAAATAAAAAGACAAACGTCCACGCAGACAAAGATAAACGTCCAAGATGTCTGTATTGTCGTAATTTTGGCCATGTAAAAGACGACTGTCGCAAGCTGAAGAAAACTCAGTCAGCAGATTCAAGAAATTCTGTACCACAACCAACTGCTTCAAGTAACAAAGCTGAACTTCAAAAAGAGCCCAAGAAGAATGATAGTATTGCGTGCTATGGATGCGGAAATCCAGGTTACATCAGAAGCAACTGTCCAAAATGTTCTCCGAAGAAGAATGAAGATGACCATTCTGTGATGAGTATCGAATTCCTCTTAACACAATCAACCACGAATCATCGACTAGGCCATTGGTTCCCATAAGTATACATCAGCATAATGGATATGCTTACGTAGATACAGGTGCAAAATCCAGTATTGCCGGATCTGCATTAGCTCAGCTACTATTAAAAGGCAATATACCATACATTATCAAGAACGACCTTGAAATGACACTTGCTGATGGTATTAGAAGAAAAGTTACCGCCCATATTTTTGACATTGAAATCATATTGCATGGAAGAAGTGTTCCTATAGAGATGTTAGCTATCCCAGAACATCAAAACAGTCGTACATTACTAGGTGTAGACTTCATTCACAAGGCTAACGTTATCCTTGATATTCCAAACAAGACATACTTCTTTGGTGAAAATCCACATGAAAGTTACAACTTTACCGCAGAGGAGTCTGTTTTGCTAGTCTGAGTCAACACTGTAACCCTTTCTCAGATAGTTCTACGAGACGAATAAGGTAGTTCTTTGCAACCAGAAGAAAGGAAAAACTTAAATAGTCTCTTACAAGAAAATTATACAGTCTTCGAAAATAGTAACGAACCAACTCCATACGCAGAACATTGCATCGTTTTGACAGATGACAATCCCATCGCAGTTCTTCCATACCGAATGTCCAAACCGAAGAAGATACAACTCAAGAACGAACTTGACAAATTGCTCGAAAATGGTACGATAGAAGAATGTGACTCACCTTATGCTGCTCCAGTTGTTTTAGTACCTAAGAAAGGTGATGGAATATGTTTAACTGTAAACTACAGAAAGTTAAACGCGGTGACGAGACCGTGCAAATATCCGTTGCCAAGAATCGATGATCTGCTTCATGAAGCTAAGAAAACAAATTACATGACTACCCTAGATCTGAAAAGCGGTCTTCTATCACCAGGTTAATGTCAAAGCCTCAGATCGAGATAAGACAGCTTTTATTACCCCTTTTGGTACGTACAGATATATCAGAATGCCCTTTGGACTTTCCACAGCGCCTTCAACGTTTCAAAAGTTGATGGATCGTTTCAAGTCTTGAATACCTGAAGTTCTCTTATTGGCCTATCTAGATGACTTAATCGTCATTTCCTCAAGTTTTGAAGAGCATCTAGTTGATCTTCAGAAGGTATTTAAAAGACTTAATAACTTTAAACTGAAACTGAATAGGAAGAAATGTTTCTTTTGCTGTAAATCTGTTCGATACCTTGGACATATTATTTCTCCCGAAGGTGTACAACCCGACGACTCAAAAGTTGAAGCAATAATGAAGATGACTCCGCCCAAAAACGTTAAGCAGTTGCTCAGTTTCCTGCAAACTTGCTCTTGGTTCAGGAGATTTATCCACAATTTTGCTGAAGTATCCAAACCGTTGTCGATGCTTACGAAAAAGAATGCAACTTGGAATTGGAAACTACCACAACAAGAAGCATTTGATCAGCTAAAAGTATTGCTAAGTTCAGCCCCAATCCTACGTCAAGCAGAAACGAAGTTACCATATATACTACGCACTGATGCCAGTAGCTATGCTCTGGGAGCATGTTTACTCCAGGGGGAGGGCGCAGACGAACGACCTGTTGAATACGCATCCAGATTGTTAACAACCGCTGAACAGAACTACATCACTACTGAACGAGAAGCTCTTGCTATTGTTTGGGCAATCCAGAAATTTCGCGGATATATAGAAGGAGCCACAATTCTTGTTCAAAGTGATCACCAACCACTACAATGGCTTATGCCTTTGAAGACCCCAACCGAACGACTTGCTTGTTGGGCTTTGAGCTTACAAGCGTTCGATTTACATATAGATTACATAACTGGAAAGAAGAATGTAATTGCCGACACCTTGTCCAGACCTGTTCTTGACGAGTCACCTGATTCCATCAACATGATTAGTGTCGAAATACCTAATAAACCCGCTAGTGACGTTAAAGCTGAACAACTAGAAGATCCAGAGCTTCGTAAAATCATTACTGACCTAGAATCCTCCGCCACTAGACTGACTTCAAGAAATGGGGCTGAACGTGGATATATAATGTCAAACGGAATTCTATTTCGTTATAATCCAGATATTGACGAAGAAGAACCGCAACAAGTAATGCCCTCTAGCCAAATTCCTCATATCTTACGGGAATACCATGATTTGGAAACCGCAGGACACTATATACGAAGCACTATTGAACGTACTTACCAACGCATTGCACGAAGATACTATTGGATGGAAATGAAAAGAAACATAACTGATTATGTTGAACAATGTATCAAATGCAAAAGGTATAAACCAACCAACTTAAAACCTGCTGGTCTCTTACAAACTCCGATACAAGCACAAAGATTTGAAGTTATTTCCATAGACCTTTTTGGTCCTCTGCCAGAAACTCCTGATGGATATCGTTGGATCTTTATTGTTGAAGACACCGCAAGTAGATGGACTGAATTGTTCCCATTAAAAACTGCTACAGCTGATTCATGTGCACGCTGCCTGACCGATGAAATAATTCTTAAATATGGAGTGCCCAGGAGAATTATTAGCGACAATGGAGTACAATTCGTAGGCTCTATTATGCAACAATTAGCTCACTGTTTAGGATTTAAACAATGTTTAACACCTGTCTACCACCCAGAATCCAATCCTGTCGAAAGAAAGAACAGAGATCTAAAAACACAATTAGCTATACTTACCTCAGATGATCATACATCATGGATAGACAAATTACCTGCTGTAAGATTTTCCATGAATACCGTAAAATGCCAATCCACTGGATACACAGCAGCTTTTCTCACATTTGGACGTGAATTAAGGACCCCAGATGACGTAAACCGTGATGTGCGAGTTATAGTCCAAACCGACAATTTTGTACCGCAAATCACGCCTTATCTACTTACCTTAAGGCCAAGCGCAAAATGAATGCAGGGTGACGCAGTTCTCGTGACGTGCTGCAGATAAAATTCACCGCAGGTTTCTCTAAAGCACGTATGAATATGTAACGGCGCATATTGAATCGCAGCGTGCCGTGACACGTTTAACTGCGTAGGGATAATCACGAACCGCAGTCGTCTGGGCGCAGTTCTCTGCTAGCAGCTGACGTGGTTTTATTGTTTATTAAATAAATTGGTATTTTGTGTTGGTCAAAATGGAAGAGAAACTAATTGAAGCTGTGCGGGTTAACAAAATATTGTTTGATACAAGTCATCCGGATTATATGCGATCTAAGTTAAAGAGTGAAAAGTGGGAAGAAATAGCTAAGGAAATCGGAATGAAAAACGGTAAGACGTATGTATTAATTATTATATATTTATTATTCTTATAACTTTGGTTATAACAGATATAGGTACATAGAGGGCTATTGTTTGATTAATAGGAATTACTTCAGTACTTTCCTCTTAAAACGCTTTCTCTTTGCCAAGGTACCATTCCCAAAGAATTGAAGTAGGTAGTAAAATTCTGTCTAACAGGGAAAGGTCTTAACGTGGCTCGATTGTTGTTTAATTTTAATGGACGTAATTGATGGTTTGGCATATTTTCAAATACGCCGTCTTCATCATTATTAGACACCGGAAAAATTCTTAAATAGTTATGTAACAAACAAGCTGCCTTTACAACATTAACAACAGTATCGATTTTGGTTTCAAACGGTGCTCGAAAAACTCTAAAACGCGCAGCAAGTATGCCGAAAGTGCATTCCACTGTTTGCCTAGCCCGTTAGCGATAGTCTGTAATTGAATACTTTATTTTCGTAATTATTAGTAACACTTCGCCTAGGATAGGGTCGCATTAAATTTTCAATAACGGAAACGCCTCGTCTCCTACAAGTACATATGTCATCGGGTATTCAATTGGAGGTAAAACTTTAGGTGATGGAAGCTGTAAAGTGCCACTTCTCATCTTTTTTGAAAATACACTTGTGCTAAAAATGCTAATCGCTAAACCTTCCTTTTGATCCTACATCAATTATTACAAATTTGTAGTTTGAATCAACTATAGCCATTAACACAATGGAGCATGTATGCTTATAATTAAAATATGAGGATCCGGTCTTTCCAGGTTTTTTAATTACTACATGTTTGCCATCAAGAGCTCCAATACAATGTGGGAAATGCCACTTGCTTTCAAACCCAACAGCAATTGACTCTCAGTGATCTCTTGTAGGCTCCGGCAGATATATAGGCTGCATAACTTTCCATAATGCTTTTGATACTTCTGCCACAATGTTAGAGACAGTCCGGAAACCCATTCTATAGCTGTAGCCAATACTTTTGTAGCTGTTTCCGGAGGCCAAATATCTGTATATATAAAATAAGAAAAAAATAAACAATTATATCAAACAAACTAAATTATGTAATATTTTCAATCGCGACACTTTATTGTCTACCCGGCTGGTATAATAATAAAAAAATGATGTGATACTAATAATAACCGTAAATATTTTTTACAGGAGTCGACGCAAAGGCAACTTGGGAAAAATTGAGGCATTTCTTAAGGGATGCACTCAGACGACAACAGAAGTGTATCACAAGCGGAGCCGCTGCGGAAACTATTAAGCAGTGGAAATTTCAAAAGCAAATGAACTTTTTACAGCCTTACATGGCGAACAGACCTCGTGATAGTAACTTGACTGCAAATAGTGACAGTGACCATCCAGCGCCTAATAATGAAAGTGTTCAAGATGAAGATATACAGGAAGTCAGCGAAGAACTAATTAACGTGGGACCAATTGATGTGAACGTTGACAGAAATGAAATTGAAGTTGAACTTGAACCTGAAAAATGTCCACTTCCTTTGAAGAAAACTAAAACTGTTAAAAGAGACAACGTTATCACTTTACTTAAACAAAACATGGAGAAGAGAGAAGAAAGACATAAATAAAGCAAGAGCGAATGAAAGAGCTCTGCTGTTGGCAGGCCAACAAAGAAGTGAAGTTGTTAAAAATGATTCTTTATACCACTTCTTCATTTCTATGTATGAAAGTACAAAAAAAATGCCTTTAAAATCGCAGTATAGCGTCAAAAACGATGTTTTTAAAACTGTGTCAGATATGGAAGCGAAGTTATTGAACATTTATTCAGAAAATGAGCATGTGGACCAAATTTCAAGTAACGCTTCGTCAACTCCAGCTCACTATTCATCATTAATTAGCTTAAATAGTTCATGCTCAACCACTATGAGCATTAGAATCGAAGAAAATGACTTACAAAATGACCAGGGATTGTCTCTTATATCTCCATCAGGACCATCAGGTCACTATTCGATATACTCTAACAATTTAATTCAAGAAAATAACCAGGAGACTGCTTCATCTTATGAAGAAGCCACAACAAATGACATTGAAATCAACGAAAATCCACCTGATACTGTGAAGAGTCAGTTTCAATTAGTCAAATTTATTAATTTTTCTGGATAATTTTTCCCAATTTTTTGTGTACCACACGGTTTTTTTTAAGTGAGTAGGTAATACTTACATATTTAGTTATATTTTTCATGTTTTGATGTTTTTTTTCTTAAATACATAATTACCTCATTTGTATTAAGCGTTTTTTTGTGCATGGCCTGTATGCGGAGATTTGAATTATAAAAAATTATCTACAAGAAAATTAGTAGAAAACATGTATAACCTACCTTAAAAATACAGCTAATTTTTCTTCAGTTTCTATAGGTCTCATAGCATTGCATCCTTTGGCAAAAATTTCATTTTTTATAAGTTCATGTACTTCGTTGAACTGTTCACGATTTAATCGAAAATAATTGGTAAACTGTTCGTCACTGAATTCCACAGTTAAAGCGAATTCTCCATGGGTCTTCCGTTTTTTCAGGTAAGAACTTCGCTTTAATTTTCTCTTTGTTGAGAGGAGAAACAGCTCAATATCATTTTCGTCGTCTGAATCTGAATCAGAACTTAAAGTAAGCAAGTTGTCCACTATGTTATTACAAGAAATCGCCATAATGTAGGTATACTATAGTAATTTTACTAAAATTACCAAGTGTCACTTTGAGCTAGGTTAAAACTGCGTGCTCATCTTGCGGTGATAACCTGCTAGCCGTTTTTTACTGCGCGGCTTCACCCTGCGTCCATTTTGCGCCTTACCTAACGAGCGCTATTAAGGATGAATTGGGTTGGAAGCATTTTGGGTGCTTTGCACATACGTTGAACTTGATAATACAAAAAAACAGTAGAATTGCCTGAACTTATCGAGATTATTAACAAGTTTAAATTAATTTCGATCCTTTTGGAGTGTTCTGCAAACTCAAAAACCGACGAAGCCAAGCAAACAGCGAACTTTCTGCATTCGTTTCGGTTTCGCTCATTGGTAGGGTACCTGAATTACAGCCGAACGAACCCAGAACCTTCGTTGTTCGTTCGCTCAGTGAGTACGCACCTTAACAAGCGTTGGGCGAACGATAGCGTATCATTGAACAAAATTAGTTACAGTGTGTCTAATTGAAGGGATCAGTTTAACATAAATGAATGTCTTTATTCGCTGAATATGATTTGTTCTAAATCGAATAATAAAATAGTGTCAGTTTTAACAATATGTCTATATTTAAACTAAAATGATACTGCTAACTGCACGATGTTTGTATGAATGGGTTTGCTCTCAATAATAAGATTATTCTTGAAAATACTTTATTGTTTTTTCGGTGTAGGATTTGATACGTTTTCTTTTAGTAGTTAAATTTAGATAAGATTTAGTGCATTTTTTGGGAACAATAAACGTTTATAATTAATATATATTTAATTAACAGTATATTATAAGAAATTAAGTTAAACATCAGAAGAAAATTAGGCTGAGTAATGAATATTAATTTGATTATGTTACTTTTACGCAAAATAAATTTAACAATCAATTGAAATAATATAAGTATACCTTTATTTAGCTTAAACATTTTTCCAGTTACTATTTTTAACCATTACTGGAAGTTAAGATAGGAAACATTTTAGTAAGACTAGTGTGATAGTAAGGGAAGTGTTTAGCCTTTTTCCTGATAATTTGTTTATATAATTTTATATGTATCTAGGATATGACCTATTTATTAGATTAGTTAGGTGAAATTTATCAGCTGGATCTAACAACGATATACATTTATTAGAAAAGTATACTATGATTTTTAGAAATTTTATTTATTATGTAACAAAAATTTCATAAATTTTTCTTGGTTGACTAAATTTTACTAATTGAATATGAATATCATATTCATTTTAGTATTTACAAAATATAATTTAGAACGTTTTATTTTGCCTCTCCAACCACTTGTATAAGATTATTGCGGCAAATGTGATGCATATGAAATTAAAATTAAAGCTACGGAAATCGAAGCTGATAAGCAAAAACAAGAACTGGAGATTGCACTAAAGAAAGGCAACTAGTTCAAAACCACCCCGAAGTAACAGTGATAACCTTCGATCTGATGAAAACACTACCTACTCCTTTATTGTCAACAGGCGTTTGTTACTATAAACGACAAGTATGAGATATGTACGGCTAATAGATATTGAATTATGATAGCAAACTACATATCCCCTGGTACGGAAATAACGGCAATAACGGGATAAGATTTGTGTAACTTATCCCGTTCTTGCACCTGCTTGGTAGTATTTTTTTATGTGGAAAACTCCGTCCCCGTGTTGCGCCGGCCATTTTATTTGCACACGACGTTAGTCACGTAGTGACCGAAAAACTGTTCGACACGGAACAACTTTTTAATACCAAAGAAATATAGAAATGTAAATCTTATATCCAGTTTGCACCACGATGATATGATTGATCCATCTACGGCAGATAAATGCAAACCCGATATAATTACTTATTATAATCACACCAAGGGAGGTGTAGATAATCTTGACAAATTATCTGCTACCTATAATGTCGCTAGGAATACTAGAAGGTGGCCAATGGTAGTTTTTTTCAATGATGAACATGGCTGGAGTTAATTCACAAATAATTTTTGCATGCAACAACAAAACATATAAAATCGAAAAAAGACTATTTCTAAGAGACATTGGGCTTTCTTTGACTAAGGAACATTTGGCTAGACGTTCCTATGAAACAAATGTGCCAAGGTCGGTGAAAGAAAGAAGACAAGAAGTCGCTGGAACACAAGAAAATATGAAAAATGAAGAAATCCAACTAGGTACCAGAAGATGTTTTTTTTGCAAAAAGGATTCAAAAATGTAAAAAATTTGTTTGTCTCTCTCACATGGAAGCTTGGTGTCCTGAGTGCTCAGAAATTGCCATAGATCAATAAAAACTATTCTATAATATTTTTACAATGTTTCACTAGAAAATCTTATTTTGTTTACCTATTTACAAGTTATTTCCTAGTTTTTAGAAAATGTTATATTTTTTGACAACAAATTTTAGAACAAGATAAAATTTGTTTGTGTATATATAGACTGCTTACTATTATTATAATAATATATATATATATATATATATATATATATATATATATATATATATATATATATATATATATATATATATATATATATATATATATATATATATAATATAATAATATACTTATTATATAATATACACGGAAAAGATATTGTAAACTTGTAAAGGAATCTCCTGTAGCCAAAAATCTTAATGTAGGGGCTAATCCTTCCTTAACAGTAATCGCTTGTCTCAAATGTGTATCTATTTTTTCTACTTTAGGACTAATTAATGCAACTAAGTATTCGAAATCGGCCAATGCCAACCGTGTAAAATTTTTGACGGTATCATCAACTGCTTCAAATGATATATCTTGTAATAGTCTATTCCGATACTGTAGTCGCTTTTTGAATAATTCTTTCATCCACCAACGCGGCTTTCATCGTCGTTTCGTCCTATCTGCTAAAATTCGATGGATCACAATAAAAGAAAATGCCGCAACAGCTGACGTGAAAAATCCGGTGCCATCGTGGAGCGCCTAGCACTGACTGACGGCTCGCTCTGCTTCGCGTGCTTGACTTTCATACCGGCTCAAAAATCTACCTGTTGAGGCAGCCTCGCGAGGCTGATCGATACTGAAAATCGATACGCGGCTTAGGGATATTCTTAGTGTTATACGTAACCCTTATAACCCTGGCTATTACCCTTAACCTCTAGCTTGTACCGAAAGAAGTTGACTACATTATTTAGAGTAAGTAAAAATGTATAAAAACCGTAAGTAACATCAATGTTCTGAATGAAGCTCGAGATGCAAATAGGGTAAGTAAAAATGTATAAAAACCGTAAGTAACATCAATGTTCTGAATGTAGCTCGAGATGTAGTAAATCAGCTAGTTGTTAGTCCAAAGTTAGTGTTAAACCAGCTATAGCTAAATCATTGTTTTTAATATTTAATATGGCAGTTGAAGATAATACTATAATATCAAATTGGGAAAAACTGAACGGCAAATAACCACAGTTATTTGCAAGAAACCAATTTAATGTTTGTCCGACCCCTTTCATTGCTACGGGAAAAGTTTCGAATGTTGAAAAGTAAAATTGCAGCGGTCTTCATGTTAATATATGAATAATAAATAAGTAAAATGTTTTTATTAAAGGTTTAATTCCATATCGGGGTCGTAGTAGCTACAGCAACCACTGTAGGGACATTCTTAGTGTTAAACGTACCCTTATAACCCTAGCTATTACCCTTAACCTCTAGCTACTACCGAAAGAATTTGACTACATTATTTAGGGTAAGTAAAAATGTATAAAAACCGTAACATCAATGTTCTGAATGAAGCTCGAGATGAAAATAGGGTAACTAAAAATGTATAAAAACCGTAAGTAACATCAATGTTCTGTTAGGTTAGGTTAGGTTTGGTTTAATGTAATTCGAGATGTAGTAAATTAGCTAGTTAAAGATGTAGTAAATTAGCTATAGTTAAAGCA